TCCGATGTTATTCATAGGAAAGCGCAATAAACTTTGTTATTTAAACAACTATGCATAGTAGATATATATATATTTATTCTTTTCAAACTTAATTTCTTTGTTGTTCATTCGCGGATACTACAAAAAACATCTCAAACAACAGAATTCATTATATACACATTAACGATAGATTCTCAGCATACGCGTGTTTTCTTTCATAATTTAGAAACAAAGAGAAGAGGGGGGGCGGGGAGGGCAGGATCATTATCGTTTACATTTTCACTTCATTCTCTTTGAATTTTTGCTTGAAAAAATGAAATATGTCAATCGTACTTTTTCTCCGACTCTGAGCATAAAAACATACATTACAATTAATACAAGGTATATAATTAATGTGGCACATGTTCTAATCCTACTTTTCATATTCATTTGGAAAACAAATGCTCGTACTCCTAGCCATTTTCATCCGTGATCTCGTTCCCACTTGAATAAGTGGAAATTCTGGTATAAAATAAAATAGTATGTAAACCGCATCGATGCTGTAGAATAAATGCAGGAGAGAAGCGACATCATAGACAATGATTTGAAAATAGACTAGTAACTGTTACAAACTTCACGATCGGTTATTTATAGTTCACGCTCGGTGTGCGTGTGTGGATGAATTCGTCGTGAATATATAAATAACATTCATTACATAAATGACTAGAGTATTACCCTGAATCATTCGAAATACAGTGCTCTTTTACTTCTGTATGCGTTAAAACGTTGCTATGTTCACGAATACGTCATGTTTTGAATCATCAAGGATCAAACACTGAAACTTTCGCCACATTCATTGCTCGATTATAGTTCCCGAGACTATAAATTTCACATGCAACGCGTATCTCGATTCGAATTGATTCGTTTACTGTAATTACTTTTTTTTTTCTTATTTTTTGGAACAAGTATTCGTTTTTTGTGTTTTTACCATGAGCATTACCGTTTTCCGTTACACGAACATCACTAAAAGTCAGTCAACATTTGTTACGTACGTAATGGCTAGTATTGTGCAATTGTTTATAGTACGTTAGTTACATCGGTTAATCGTAATAATTGTTCCTCGAAAATAAAGAAAAAAGAAAACTGTAACTGCACTTGATAGATACAAGACGTAGCGCGTGTCATATTCATGCCGTCGTGTCCACGCGGGTGCTAAGTTAATAATATATGCACTCGGTAGAAACAACGTTCCAAAACGTTTATTACTAGAACGACTTTCCGAATCGTATGCAGAACGGTTTTCATCCGTGGAAAAATACCTCTTACTCTATGGCGCCTCATGAAATCAAAACGTATACGTTCGAACGTTTCTTCGTGAAAACTCCTATAGTGTCGAGGTGTGTGTGTGTGTGTTTTATGTGTATTCGTGTGTGGGTGTGGGTGTGTTTTGTGTGTATTCGTGTGTAGGTGTGGGTGTGTATGTGTTTGGTGTTACGCATGTGTGTAAGGAGAGTCAGCGGTGTGTAAGTAACGCTAGTCTGATCTAACGTAAGCCTTGCAACGGGCGTTTGATATAGTATTATTGTCGAACGATCTAAAATTAAATGAACTTACAATTCTTTGAGATGCTCTTCGATGTAATCATTCAATCTATCCGTCTGTTTTGTAAATTAGTTAACTGTTTCTCTTTTCTTGTTTCATTAATCGATGAGAAAATCCAGTTATATTATGGATTTGTGTTATTTCGTATGGCGTTCGGTAGATGTCAGTATGTAACTCTTACATGTTAATGGTAAATGTTCTCACAAATCTGTTAACTGACTTAATTTTTATTATACTTACACGGTGGCATTATCCAGTGTAATCGATTGATTGTTGATACCGTTTCCGTGATTCGTATGATGACCGTTCAGTTCTCCCTCCACGTTACCCTGATTATTATCCAATACAATTTTACTTTCATTAATGCCGTTACTATGCGTGCCGTTATGCACAATATCCGTTTTCGTGCTGTTCTCCGTGTGATGAGCCCGCTGTTCACCGCTAATGAATTGCTGAGTCGCCTCGGATATCAGGCTGGCTGTCATCACGTCTTCGCCTTTGTTACCTGGTGCTGGTTTGTTCTCATCGTTCGGGCTGTTGTCTTCTTTCAACTTGTCGCCGTCACCACCTTCGCCCTGCACAACAATCATGCGACCGCGAACAAATCAATTAGCAAGTGTAACAAGGAATCAACGCGATGGACTGAAGAAATTTCATTAGCAAAGTGTTGTTACCTTGGTGGGTGTGTTGCTCTGATTTTTCCCCCGAGTTCTAAGCATGATTGCCTCGACGCGCTTACGTCTGGCGAGTCTTTCCTCTTCTTCCTTTTTGAGACGTTCAGCCATTTCGATCCGCTGTCTGTAACAAGAACATCATCTGTTCTATAACATTCCATTCAGCTTTTCACGAAATTGACAAATAAGTTAAGTACATCCATCCTTTCTATTAACTATTATCAATTGTTCTTTCAGTATGACAAACATAAATTAGTTAAGTATTGAAAAATATTCGTCACCTTTCGGCTTCTTCCCTCGCTTTCCGTTCAGCCTCTTCTTTCTCCTGTTTCTGACGAGCCTCTTCTTCTTTTCTTCTCCTGTCCTCCTCCTCGCGACGTTTCGCCTCCTCGATAGCCAGTCTCAGTCTCTGTTCTTCGGCTTCTCGAGCTTCGTTGGCCAAACGGAGCGATTCCTCTTCCAAACGCCGTTGCTCTTCCTCTTCGGCGCGTAGTCTCTCGGCTTCCAAACGTGCTTCCTCCTCCTACACAAACAAAAATGTTCACGCATGACCTTCAAGCATTCCAGCGTCGCGTCACATTATAAAATATTGTCCTGAGAACTCACCAGACGTTGACGTTCGAGTTCGGCTTCCCGTTCTGCTTGCTCTCTGGCCAATCTTCTACGTTCCGCGATAGCTGCTTTGGCCTCCTCCTCTGTGGTAATTCTGATCTTCGCTATCATCGAGGCTGAAAAGATATCAGTCATGAAACAATCAGCAATTCCAACCTATTCTCACAATTATTCCAACCTATTCACACTACTTAATTCCCAAGATTACTCACCAGACATGTCGACCTGTTCTTCAATAATGTTTTCTTGTTTCGCTTCAGTTTCCGCTGGAGGCTTCTTCTCTTGCTTGTCCTCTTTCTTCTTGGGTGTCTCTTGTGACGGTACGGCTGCTTGATTCTCCTGACCCAAATTGCTCTCTTCTTTCACTTGTTTTGTCACCGGTGCAGGATTGGGCTGTTCAACGATGGCCGACTTCTTCGCTTCTTCGATACCTTGTTCCGCTGCGCTGATCTCCTGCTGCAACAAACACAGGATACAGGAACTTGATCAAACCGTTGCAAAATCTAGCGTTCCATCAATCCAACTCGACATTATCGAATTTAGACGATTCATTAATCAAACTAACCGTACATATCTTCATAACATAGATGGGAAAGCAATTACCTGCGACTTTTCCGTGCCCTGGTCTTTCTTCTCCTCGTGCTGCTTATCATCCGACTTTATTTCTTCCTTCCCCTCGTTCTTGATTATCTCCCCTGTGCTCTCTCGAATGAACGGCTCATGCTCGATCCCCGGGCTCTGGAGCGGCGTCGCTTTCGGGGTTATCCGCGGGGACGCTTTCGCGTTCTTCGCGAGCTTTTCCGTGGGCTTCTTGATCTCGGTCATCTTCGGCGTGGAAGGTTTCTTTGGAGTGTTGTGGACCTTTGGCAGTGGCGGCTTTGAATCCTTTGTCAGTTTCGCATCGCCGGACAGATCTGCGTTACCGAAATTCACGGGATCACCATCAGTACCAGCTTTCATCCCCGTGTGAGAAGTATTTCAATGTGCAATTTCGAATTACGGTAAACAAGGCATAAAAACTAAAGGAAAACCAAACGTAACCAATTCGAAGGAGTAATCATATGAGACCATACTCGATAAAATTCAATTTCGAACAGAATCGAAAGTTGAACAGAAAGGACTTTGTTTCACGCGTCGCGATCGGCACGACGTTATCGGTGTACAGGAGAAATAAATAAGAGAGAAGTGAAAAAATGGCATGCTCACTGTGTCGTTCTGTGACCGAAACACCGGTACCGGCAATAGAAGCAGGTCGCGGCCGACGCGGGGCAGTTGTACGGGGACGCAGATTGACGTTACTGCTGCCCACGCTGCTGGCGCTTTGCTGGCTCATGGAGCTGTGCGGTCGTGATGGGCTGTTCGGTGTCACCTCCCCGCTGCGGATGCCTACGCGTACCCACCCAAGGTGAACATCTCTTCATTTACGTGGTGTTAGGCTTATATGTCCGCGGCGTAATGTGCAAAAGAAACAGAGTCGCGGTGCCGCGACACACGGCACCTCCGCGCCGCTGCGACACTTCGCGGTTAATTAGCTGTCAGAGACCCTGCGGCCGCACACCCCTATCCTTTTCGAGGATCGGATCCCATTGCTCCGTTGACATTGAGAGGTCAACTTCAATCAGGCCGGTCAAATTGACCTTGAACGCGTTTCTCAACGATGTAATTAGGATACTCGATAGGTGTTCGATGTCTTTGTTCAACGTTTGTAACTATGAGAATTCTAATTCTAATCGAGAGTATTGATAGGTGAATATAATAAAGATGTAATCATAGAGATTAGAATTTTGAATGTTTCTTATACTCGACAAGATAAATTGTAATCTATTATTCTAGTGTGGTAAGATTGAGGTCGCTTCAATAAGGGATATAAAATTTGTTCAACTATCACGTACCAATTCCTAGTGTTTCGAGAATTTGCAAGTAGATACTGGACGAAGTTACTTAACACGATGACGGTAAATGGAACAATAGCGAGGTGGGAGGTGCGACCCTTCACCGATCAATATTTCCTGTCACGAGAGCATCAATCCGTCTTCGAGTCCTGACGAGGTTGCCTCCGATGCCAGCAAAATGACTTTTCGAAAGGGCACCGCGTATACGCATGAGCCTCTGACAGACGTGAATCGCGATGATATATATATATATACGATACGAAATATTCTTGACTTTATACTGCTAGAGTTCGTTGGTGCGCATTGCTCAAAAGTATCTTTACAAATTAGTCTCTTCTTTTCTTGTTCTTGCCGATATTAATGTTACAAATGAACGAATAGCGAAAATCAAAGAGAGAACAAGCACCGCCACCAAAAATTATTGTTGTCTGTGCCGTTTTGTGTATGTACATCGAGATTAAACCATATAGAACGAAAACAGGCTGAAAATGAATATACCAGAAATCATAAACAATCGCAACAGAGCGAAAGAAAAGAAGAAATTAAAAAACGTAATAATTGAAAAAATAAATAAGTATGTATATATATAGCGAAATATGTATTGCACACTAAATACGATCATGGTTGGTCATTTGTACAGCTCGATACATGGTGAACGAGATACATACATGGTGTATACATGTGATAAAAGATATGGAAAAAAAATATTGTGTGTAGCTTACCAATAAAACGTTAGACCGTCACCTCTGGTAGCCGAAAAGCCGGTGAGTGAGTACTGTCGTTTCTTAGGCAGGAGCGTTTTGTTAATCAATTCGTATGACTCGAGACCGCCGACGATTGAAACCGCGGTAGAAAATTCATGCAGCCGACGCGTATGTATACATCGTTGTTAAGTATCGATTGTTAAAGAAAGACGGAAGCGTGAAACGCTTTGATAGGTCGTATGTTAGTCTCCGTTGAATACGCAAGCGTGTATTCGTCGTCTCGCGTTATTCTACAGAAGATATCCGAAACGATCGTGCGACGATTTTCTGGCTTATTGATTCACAATGGCTCCTCACTGCGTCTGTGCATGCATGTGTGCACCCAACTCGAGTTAGAACGAGTACAATATTAACCAGCGCTGTTCTATGAGAATTCGCTAGCTTCGAGGCTTTCCCCCCAGTCCGACCGATATTTTCCTATACACTTCGCATTGTACACTGCAATAAGTCTTAAGAGATTTATCGAGGACTAAAAAAAAAAATATTTACCATATCCGAAATCGATTCTTGCAGTTTTCTCTTCTTATAGCGAACAATGCAACTCCCTCTTCTATTTTGTACGCCGATAAGACGAATAATTTACAAATTCTGTTTAATTTGGAGCACTATTAAATTCGCGTCAGTACACACCAGTCACTTATTCAACAATTCTGCAATCAAACCGTTAATTCTAACGAAGTATATTACTTTAATAAACGTTTCAAACTAATAAAACCCGCAGCATCCGCGTAACAGCCTAGTAATTATACTCAACTCCGGAGGGAGCAAAGTAGCGAAACAACCGAATCCCCGAACAGCGCTGTCACGAACCTCCTCGTCTCCTACCGGACCCACTGAACAACCAGAAACTTCCACGACACCATCCTCCGCGGGAACACAAATTAGTATGAAGCAGAATTCCGGTAGTACATCGTCGGTGAGCGACGCGAGAACGTGTAAGTAGATGAGACCGCTGACGGAACGCGCGTGAGGTTACGTCGAGATCATCGGTGCGAAGCCGACATTCACGAAGCTTGCATTGATTTCGAGCGTAATCCACGGCGTATGAGAGAAAAGGATGCGAGGCGGACGGACTAGCCGTCCGATAGAGAAAAATAAAAAATATATATATATATATATATTTACATGTGCGGTGTGTCGGTTTGCGACAGATAGGCAGCGAATGGGGGTAGGCGGAGCAAAGATCTCTGAGTTGAGTGCACAGGAACGATCTTACCTTGCTGCTGTTGGATCTGATGCTCGCGTGCTTTGCGACGGAGTTTCTCGGCCTTCGTTGGTCTCGGCATCGGGACTGCGCCCGGCAGCGTGCCCATGCTACGTGAGTTATCTGAGCGTTTTAGGCTCTTGCCGCCGGACGCAGCTAAGTGTGACATGCTGCGACTCATGCTAGAAGCGCTCAGAGGCTGGCTTTGCTGTTCCGTCAGTGTGCTAAGTTCTGTCGGACGTTTCCTAGGCTGCGCGAGCTGGTCCAGCCTGGACATGGAGTAAGTCCTACCTGGCGAGCGTGTGAAGGCCTTCGCGCTGGAGCTGCGTCCCGACGACGGCGGGCCATCGCGCGGCGACGGTATCGTCGGCATCAGATCGGTGCGCCTCCTGTTCACGCGCAGGTAAACCGAGCTAGGTGTTCCCGGTGTCCCGTCGCTCTCTTCACCTGCAACCGAGCCCCCGGTTTTCGTGATGCCGATAAGCCTCTTCCCGCGCGGCGGAGAGAACAAACAGAACACGTGTGTACACGTAGAAAGCCGCGCACGTGTAACGATCCTTCAACATCGCCACACAAACTTCTCGCGTTTTTCTAACGATTTTCACCGTGATACGCGTGTAACGCACATTAACCGTGCGACTACGCGCTAGTGTGTTTCTTTACGCGTACACATGGCATTCCCTCCTTTCGAAAGACACTCGGACAGAACTCGACGATCGTCTCCATGCTGTTCCCTGGTCGTTCGTGTGCGTGTGTGTACGTGTCGAAGCGGTCGAAACGTGCGCGCGACTGGACATCGTGCACGACGAACAGAAGCGGGGTTGTTGTTTGCGAGACTGTCGTCGAGACGCATGCCGATGGACGTTCGGGGATGCTAGGGGACAATGCTTGGGGGTCTGAGAAAGACGTTACCATGGCGGACGAAGCGGTGC